GTGGAGAAGAAGTGAACATGCGAGTATTTACAGGGAGAGAAAGTGAGATTTTACTAAGTTCTTAAAGATACCACCCTCCATACGTAATGCTCATTGCATTACGTATGGAGGGTGGTAGCGAGTTCCACAGGCGCACAGCCTGTACAGAGAAGGATTTGCAACTAGAGGTATGAGTGGGAGTTTTTAACAAGAGGTTATCTGCACTTCGCAGGCCACTATTCTGCACCTCACCGAGAAATGTGAAAGATTCTTTAAGGTATAATGGAGTAATAGGGTTAAAAAGGATAGAATAGAGTAAAGAGATAACATGCCAATCTCGGTGAGAACGAACTGGGAGCCACTTGAGCTGAGTACGGAATTATGAAATGCGGTCGTATTGACGTAAACCAAATATGAATCTAATGCAGACGTTTTGAAGATTATATATTTATTTAGTTTACTGAGACAGGTTTTCTAAAAATCTAATTATAATTCGGCTTATCTATTTCAGCCGCCGACTCAATCGACAGACGAGCAAGGAGACTTATCGGGGACGAATCACTTGTAGCTAAGACGTTTCAAAGTCTTAATCACCGACGTAAAGTAACTTGTCTATCGGTGTTCTGTAGGCTCCATTTTGGCGAATGTGCTCAAGAACTGCACAACCTCAGTCCTCCTCCTCATTCACCGTTCCATCAACGTACAACAAGACATAGAGAGCGGCCCCACCCCTACACTATTGACATACCCAGCTGCTCGAACTAACCGTTTTGCATCATCTTTCCTTATGCGAGCAGCTAAGGAGTGGAACTCTCTACCAGCGTCTATTTTTCCTGCCTCTTACAACATTGGGTCTTTTAAGTCAAGAGTGAATAGGTATTATTTGAGCTTGCGTGTAACAGTTTAGACCACATCATCACTTAACATCAGGTGAGATTTGTTCTTAAACGCGCTCAATTTTTAATATAAAAAAAAGCAGCTTGCTCTGTAAGCAGTTTTGGTTGTAGGGTGCAAATTAGGCAGTGAAATTACAGGATCAAAGGCATGACATAGTCCTTATTTATTAGGCCTCTGTAATGGCAATGGGTGTGGTTTTTTTTAAAGGTGAGATACAATTGTGATCTGAGAGCTTAATCTTCCAGAAGGACAACATATGGGTGGTGGTACATGATGGGGTACTGTTAATGTATCTATATATAGACGACGGTTATCGCTTACCATCAGGCGAACTATTCAGTTATTTACCATTCCTATTATATAAAAAACATAACTATAGGTGTCGTTGATGACGTTTATATATTAATATTAATATTATATATTATCCATTGTGTTATTTATATACAAGTATTATATTAGATTAGCTGAACACGCGACTTCGTTCGGGTGGAATTTAACTTTATTTTATTCTAAAATATAAGTAACCTAAGTTACTCCCTATTACATCAGCTACCTGTCAATAAAGCTCCTGTCAAAATAGGTCCAGAGATTAGCCTGAGCAAACAGACAGACAGACAAAAAATGTAAAAAAATGTATTTTGGTGTAAGTACCGTATTTATATTCATATGCATGTAGTAAAAAACGGTTATTTCAATATTACAAAAAACACTCCAAATTTATTTGTACGTATAGATTAAAGGTTTTAAATATGTAATTAATATTATAACTTCGATAGTGCATCTGTTTGTTCAACTGTCACCTTTTCATGGCTCAACGGCTGAATAGATATTAATAGAATTTGACATAGGCTATCCTTTCTGTACTATATTAACTTAACAGAAGAGGAAACGCCACTACAGATCCTGTGTGGTTGTAACCCACTCATGCATAAATGAAATATCTCATTTGGAAAGTATGCACTATATCCAAAGACAAAACCATCGCTTCTAAGAATATCCTTCTATTCTTGTCTCTGCCAGCGAACTCTAAAAAAGGCGAGCGCAATAGATCTCGACAGTGCTACAGGTCTTAGTACCTGATAATAGCCTAAAACCCACAATAAAATAAATAACATGTCAACTTTGCTATTTTGGCAGTTAGCATTTACACAAAATACTTCAAAATTAAATTCTGAACAATATTTATTTATAAGATTTATTCATAAGAACAACACGCAAGTGTCTTTGTCATTCTTCTTGTGATAAGTGAGTCCGAATGAGTGGTAGAATAAAAAATGTGACCATTCAAAATTTTACATTAAGCATATTTGAATAAAGAGTATATTTCTAAAACAGTGTCAAATATATTAGAAACATAGATACAATAAAAATGTAAAAGGAAGGAAGAAATGTTTATAATATATCAATAGTACTGAAGATTACCCTGAACATGCTTTCTTTATTGTAACTAAGTATATACTCCTGTAAGCATAAAAAAAAACAATGTAGTCCAGTAAAATTTAAATGATGTGACCAGTTTTGGCGCAATATGTAAAAATAAGTCCGCAAATGCTTGAATTATAATATTCAGAAAAATTATTTGATTTGATTATCAATCAAATCAAAAAATTTTTTGATTATAGAAATTTCTTCCTTCCGTTTATATTTTTATTGTATCTATGTTTCTATTACATTTGTTCAATTACTAACTGTTTTAGAAATATAATGAATAAATTAATTAATAATATCTAGGAGTAACCTGAAACAGTCATGCTCGCTATAAAGTTCAAACTTGTGGCGGCGTGGTGGGCCGGGTCGATGTGCTCCCTCAAATATGGTTGAGTACAATGATGGCTGGCTCATACGTCATACTTGTGAACGGGTGCTGCTTGTGGGGACCGGTCTGTTCAGGTTGTGAACACTGATTAACTTTTTTTTGTTCTTTGCGATAGCATATGCTGGTGGTTACTTTATTCTCCCAAATTTGAATTTTAATGACTGTATATTATAAACATGTTCCACTATTATTTGAAAAAAATACGAGCTGCGTTTCTTGTCAGTTCTTCTCATCTCGATATCATTCCGAACTGACGGTAGATTTGACATATCATAAGAGTCTGTAATAGACCTACATGAATAAAGATATTTTGAATTTGAATTTGAATTAATAAAAATTTAATTAATAATTATAAAAGGTCACATCATGTTAATTTAATTTTAATTTTACTAGAATATATACATGTGTTCATTAACATACCTATTGTTTATATCTTTTCAATACTATACCAATAAAGTATATGCTATTCTATCTTTACTCCTTTATAATATCGTATAGATTATCTATACAAATAAATAAAATAGAAGTGTCTGTTTGTAATTTCATATCAACTTCACTAAATGCATACGAAAATTTAAAATTTTAATTTTTTTCCGATACTGCATACTTATGCAGTATCGGAAAAAAATTAAAATTTTTATAAGTATGTTTGTTCTGGCTAATCTCTGAAATGGCTGGACCGATTTTGGCGTGAAAACGGGACAAACAGACAGACAGAGTTACCTTCGCATTTTTAATATTATTAAGAAGGATTTTTTTTTTATAACACGGGACAAACGAGCATGCAGCTCACCTGATGGTAAGTGATTACCGCCGCCTATGACCATCCGCAACACCAGGGCATTTGCAAGTACGTTGTAGGACTTTTAAAAGGGAATAAGCTCTTTTCTTGAAGGTCTCAATATCGTATCGGAAATACCATTGCTGGAAGGTGATTCTACAATATGCTTGTAGCAAAGAGAATCCGGGACGAGCAACTAGTGGTATTAAAAGGGAGTAAATGTGCCAAATCCGAGGTCGCGTTATAAACCTACGTGTTCTAGCGTAGCTTTGTATGTTTGTTCAGCAGAATAGCTTAATTTATTATTAGTTTCTATTGATACAGTTGTCTATTTACGTAATGAATAAATAACATCAGCATTAGTTAAAACATACTGGCTGTGCTCGCGACTCCGCGTGAAACAGTGAATTTGACCAAATAAACAAAAAAAAAATTAATCCAAAAAACTAAAGTAAATAGTTTCATATTTCTTGCATCAAAAATGACGTATTTGTATACAAAGTTTCATCCCCTATTTTATTTTACATTCATGCAACCTTTCAACTCCTTACAACCATTTTTTAGCATAAAAAAGTAGCCTACGTCCTTTCTCAGGGTCTGTACCAAATTAGTACTGTGTACTAAATTTAATTTAAACAGACTAGAATTATATTTATAACATCATATATCATTATACAATAATGACGATGCTGAGAGCAGCATAACTTTATTATATCGAATCAAATATAACAATTAATTAAATTAAAGAATCATTGCATATAAAAATAAGAACAAGAAAATCAAATAAAAAATCGCTATGTATTCTTTATTTGTTGCACGCCGACTTTGATTTTAAATAGAAATAAAAATAATAATCCAATTAAATTAAAAATAAATTTAATTAGTCTTTTAAATATATAATTTTACTAAGCTAACCCTGCAAACGTTGTTTTGTCTTATAATCGCTATTAAAAACAGGGGTTGGTGATAGAAGGGTGTCAATTTAGGGTTGTATCTATTTTTAATGCTACAGTATAAAAAATATTACCAAAAAATTAAAAATAAATGTTAAGGGTAGACAACACTTATCACTTAGATGTATGAAAAGTAGATAATAGCCGATTCTCAGCCTTACTGATATGCATATAAAATTTAATATAAATTTGTCAAACCGTTTCGGAGGAGTATGGTAAGTAACAAACACGAGAATTTTATAATATATATATATATTATTATATATAAGATTCAGAAATAAGAGGACTATAGAATATATTATTATATACACAATAATTGTAGCTATTGCTTTTAAACAAATGTGATTGTTTTTAAGATGTTTTTAGGATGTTTGGGAAAATACAAATTAGCAACACACAAGAATAAGATTAAAATTTCCGACTGCCTCGGTGGTTTCTAGCGGTTCACATCGACTTACTTCCGATGGTCGCCGGTTCGATCTAATATGTCAAGAATGCTGGATTGGACAAGTTACGGCATTAATGTCACCGCGAGAATATCTCTCACTTACGATTTGCTGATGACATTGTGATCATGGCTGAATCGCTGCAGAACTACCAACAGATGCTCAACTGCCTGGCTGTGTCGTATCATTGCATTGGTCTTTGGATAAATTTGGATAAAACTAAGATCATGTTCAATGATCACATTTGTCCGGGAGCGATTGAATTGGAGTGCCTCTCGAATTTGTTCAGGAGCTATATTTATCTAGAGCTAACATTCCAACTAAGAAAAAACAATTTTGTTCGAATTGTCCTGGGTTATTACTATCTTAGTAATAAAACGCGAAAGTGTTGATGGATGTTTGTTATTCTTTCACGCAAAAAGTACAAACGGATTTTGATGAAACTTTACAGTGTTATAGCTTATATATCAGAATTACACATAAGCTAAAAATTTTTAGCTTTTTTATTTGCTTTATGCTTTATATTCAGCTTTTTTTTAGCATTTTATTTTCAGCACAGTTAGTATTTAATATGTCTGTCGTGGTATGGGCATGTAATGCGTAGGAATGAAGATAATATACATATGAATGTGGATATAAGGGTAGAGGAAGGCCGAAAAAGAAATGAATGGACCTAGTGAAAGATGATGCAAGAAAGGGAATAAATAACGAGATGACTGCGAACAGGGATGAATGGAAAAGAGAATTATATTACGCTAATCTAAATAAATGGGATAAGGATAAAACAGATGATGATGATGATGATATCCTGGGTTATTATTACTATGTTAATTTACAAATTATAATACTTGAAAATTTATAACGTTTCACATACAGACTGTACATTTTTATATACGTATCCAAATCTATGTTTACTTTTCCCATGCTGTTATTAATATAATATAATACAGCACGAACAAACAAAATGGTAACTACGTAATTACATTGTAACTGTAGATATATAAATGGTCTAAGATTCGATTTCATCATTAAGTGCTGGGACATCCTCTGCAATAGATACAACATGTTCATCAACATGAGATTCGCCCTGCTTCTCTCGCTGGTAACTACTATTTTCTAATACTCTTTATCATTTTTTTTTATCACTGTTCTTTCATTTAGAAGAACGAATGAAATTTATCAGTGATCGTATTCTTCGCAAATAAATAAATACTTTTTTATTCTTCAAAATTGTGAGATTTTATAGGAAAGATGTATTTTAAACGCAGGTTCAATTACTTGTATGTACGTTACAAACTTTTGTGTTCATGATTATGATTGTTTGTATCGGTCTGTGTGTTTTCTATGTATACTATGTATGTATTTACATTATTGCAAGTAATCGTATCCGTTGTCTAGTGCCCATAACACAGCTTCCGCTCAAATTTGTAATCATTCCGCTTTGTAACAAGCTCATTTGAAAAGACTAAAAGCTGAGTCTTTTGTCAGTCTCATTTTTTTATATCTGTAAATAATATACATACCTCTCATAAGAAGACTACCTCGAAAGCACTTCGAACTGACAGTAAATTTGACATATCACGAGAGCTATGTACATTATTTCCAGATACAAAACAGTGTACTGAAGTATTTATATCAGTTGTATAGTTCTGTTAGTTCTACTTAACATGGCTGTAATGAATCTGTAATTTTGTAATCCTGTACAATCTCATTTCGAAAAAATAAGAGCGGAGTTCTTGTTACATCCAAAGCACCCCAAAATGACGGTAGATTTGAAGAGTCTGTAGTAGACCTACATGAATATAGATAGCTTGATTTGATTTGGGACTGGATGGCGCTGTGTGAATAGTCATGGGTTATTATTTTACATTTTCCTTTCAGTTGCGCTAGTGTTACCCAGCTATTCCACTCAATGTTAGGTTGACTGGTAGAGATCTCTTTTAGATATAACATCGTCTTTGCTCACTCTATCTATAATTAAATTTGTTATTGTATTTCAAAGAACAATAAATAATATACATAATTATAATGATTAACTGAAATAAAATTAAGTTTAATCATTGCTATCTCTCGCGAAGGACTCCAGCAAGGTGGACCGACGATCTGGTCAAGATCGCTGGAAGGCATTGGATGGGAGTAGCGCAGGACGGATCATCGTGGAGATCTTGGGGGGAGGCCTTTGTTCAGTAGTGGACGTTTTCCGGGCTAAGATGATGATGATGATTGCTATCTCTAGGATGGCGACCATCTTTTATCTGACAATAGAGTTGTAGCAAATTTTATCTAAATTGAAGTAATCGCTTGAACTGTCTTGTGTAAGTTTATTTTTATTGATTTCTTTTTATTTTATTTCAGGTTGGTTCAGCGGTCTGCCTGCCAACATTCGGTAATTAAATTAATTAATTATGTAACTTTATTCTCAAGTTTTCATCCTCTACTTTGTTGATAATGTAATGGTGTACCAGCCTGCGCTAACGGTATACGTTGGCGAGGAACCAAGATTGTTCTGAGGAATTGTTCGCAATGTTACGAACTCCTCAATTGCATTACCGCATTACTCGCTAGAAATTCATTATATACCATCACCTGGTTGACGGTCCATACCCAAATACCTTTTAGATTCAACTGCCACTAGGGGTATTTCATAAGGGATACGAATTGGGTCTTTTCTATGTATATTATGTGTATATATAGCTGCTATATAGCATGTTATCTAGTATTTATATCAATTGTTTAATACCCATACATACAAGCTCTGCTTAGCGTGGAACTAGACGGCGCTGTGTGAATTGTTCAGGGATAGTTTTTATACGTAATAGCTCTAAAAATCTTTTACTTCCTAATTGACAGGGATCAAATTGTAATTAAATATTAATTAAAACAGCTGCACCGCTAATCGCATCCAAGTTTAGTGTAATATGCATGTATTTGTTTCGTTTATGAATAACATCTATTTTCTATGTATAATATGTATGTATTTACAAAAATGGGTCTAGATGGCGCTGTGTTAATTGTCCTGAGATTATTATTATTATTATTCTCCGTCCGTGCAGGTGTTGGTGGAGAGGCAGCTATTGCAGCTAGCGTATCAGCATCTAAAGGAGCAATTGGAGTTACTAAATCTGTGCAAGCTGCAGGAAGTGTTGGATCATCAACAGCCGGTGGTGCAGCTGGTTCAATAGCGGCAGCTGGCGCTTTAGGTGTTGGTGCAGGTGCTAGAGCTGCTGGCAGCGCTGGAGCAGCTGCAGCGCTAGGAGCCGCAGGTGCAGCTGGAGGTGCAGGCCCTGCTGGTGCTGCAGGTAAGATGGCTGAAATGGGAAATTAACCCTTTTTTATTTTTAAAACATACAAATATATCAAAACTGATTATACATTCAACCCCGCACTAAGCGAACCTGTATCGTGGCAGTCAGCAAAAGAATTGCCAGATCTAAACCAAACCAAATTGCTAAATTAACTATAATAGATCAGTGAGTAGAGTAGATTAGATATATCATAAGAGCCTGCAATAGACATACCCGAATAAAGGTATTTTAATTTGATTTGATAAAAACAAAAAAGCTGTCGACATATGTCACTTTATGTCGTCATATTATGCTTATGGTATCGATCGTTCGATGCCTGAGCATGTTTTTTTTTTCAAACTTTAGTTCGTTTAGAGCTTCACCGTATGATAGGGGGCGAGTGCAGATGGCACTACAAACCCGCGGCGAATCATTCAGCCATTTCATTGAGCGGCTGGTGGCCACCTCCTACCTGATGGATATAACTTTAGTCTGGCATCGTTAGGAGTTCGAACCTCGACTTAAGCATCGTAAGATCGATTCCCGTTGGAACAAGACAGGGGATCGAACGTAGCGAGTTATTCAACAAAAAAAGCATCTAATTTGATTGGGTACACATTATTAAGTTTGAAAATAAAATAAAATTTAAAATCTTTATTGTGCCTCTCACAGAAAACTATTTCGTTAAAATTAATTTGTTAGGTCTTAATAACAAGCTAATTTCAACAAACTCGACTGATAATGTGTAATTTAAATTTAAGATGTTTTGTTTTGATCTTAATTTAAATAAGTTTCACTACTTCTTTCAGGTGCAGTTGCAGCTCAAGGTGCATTAGGAGCCGCAGGCGCTGCCGAATCTGTTTCCAATGCTGGTGCTGTTGGGTCTAGAGCAGCAGGTGGTGCTTCAGGAATTGCTGGAGCAGCCGCAGTCTCAGGTTCAGCTGGAGCTGCTCAGTCTGCAGAAGGCGCAGCTGTTGGGTCGTCTATTGCCGCCGGTGCAGCAGTTGCCGGAAGTGCAGGAAATCGTGGATCGGCAGGTTAATACCGTATAATCGATTAATAATTTATTCGTATATGGACGACCTACGTAGTTTTGTACCTAGGTACAAAACTAGCTTTACCTTACGTTTTCTAGCTTACCATCGGAAGAAAAGCTAGCTTTTCTTCCGATGGTAGCGGGTTCGATACGCACACAATTCATATTTTTAAATAAAGAAGGGAAATTTATTGTTACTTAATAACATGAATTTATAAAATAACAGTAAAACTATACATAATCATATATATGTCTATATATTCATATATTTATGTATGTCTATTAATACTTATAGTTAATATCATTAGAACAATATTTTAATATCTCCTCTTTTTGTACATGTATATATGACTATTCCATTTAATACACTATCCTATAACATTTTCTAGGTTTGCTGGAAGAAATCTCTTTTTAGAGATAAGCTCGCTCTTGTACATTACATTTATTGTATATAATTTCACTTACTATGGGTGTGTACAATAAAGAATAAGGAATATACATAATCATATTTACATTGTGCGGAGAGATTTTTAAAGTAATCGGATTTCCGTACTACCGAATATTTATGGTTTTAAACATGCTAATGGTAGCAGAATTAAACTATTTAATTATACGGTAACTGTTGTAGATGAAGTAACAGACTCAGAGTATTGCCACTTGGTGATATCACGTTTGCAATTCAGACCAACCTATCCTCATGTGGATAAACCTTGCCATGAACCAGCAATAAATGAGCACATTCATTTAAGAGCTACACTTTTTTCGGTGGAGCTCTTGCCGCTTTCCGCGATGTTCTATCATGCTCTTTAAGTATTGATACGACACGACTCCCATTTTGTCTTTAATTTGCTTAATAAAGCTGTAACTTGGTTCTCCTCTCCCTCTCTTTCCTTCTATAATAATATTCATAAATTCATCGTGCCGTATAAGGTGTTTATTATAAATTATTACATAAATTTATATATACATGTGGAATTTTAAATATTCCTTTAAATACAACCGTGACAATACATTTGTATATGTTGCAGGAAATGGTGGAAACTCCATCGGCAATTCTGGCAGTAATTCTGGGGACAGTTCTAATAACTCAGGCAATTCAAGCTCAAACAATGATTCCGATGGCAGTTCAGATGACTCAGGCAATTCAAATGGCTCGGGCAGTTCAAATGGCTCAGGAAATTCAAATGGCTCGGGCAGTTCAAATGACTCAGGCAGTTCAAATGGCTCAGGCAGTTCAAATGACTCAGGCAGTTCAAATGGCTCAGGCAATTCAAATGGCTCAGGCAGTTCAAATGGCTCAGGCAGTTCAAATGGCTCAGGCAGTTCAAATGGCTCAGGCAGTTCAAATAACTCAGGCAGTTCGAATGGCTCGGGCAGTTCAAATGGCTCAGGCAGTTCAAATAACTCAGGCAGTTCAAATGGCTCAGGAAATTCAAATGGCTCGGGCAGTTCAAATGGCTCAGGCAGTTCAAATGGATCGGGCAGTTCAAATAGCTCGGGCAGTTCAAATAACTCAGGCAGTTCAAATGGTTCAGGAAATTCAAATGGCTCAGACAGTTCAAATAGCTCAGGCAGTTCAAATGGCTCAGGCAGTTCAAATAGCTCAGGCAGTTCAAATGGCTCGGGCAGTTCAAACGGCTCAGGTAGTTCAAATAACTCAGGCAGTTCAAATGGCTCAGGCAGTTCAAATAACTCAGGCAGTTCAAATGGCTCAGGCAGTTCAAATGGCTCAGGTAGTTCAAATGGCTCAGGCAATTCAAATAGCTCTGGCAGTTCAAATGACTCAGGCAGTTCAAATGACTCAGGCAGTTCAAATGGCTCAGGTAGTTCAAATGGCTCAGGCAGTTCAAATAACTCAGGCAGTTCAAATGGCTCGGGCAGTTCAAATGGCTCAGGCAGTTCAAATAACTCAGGCAGTTCAAATGGCTCAGGAAATTCAAATGGCTCGGGCAGTTCAAATAGCTCGGGCAGTTCAAATAACTCAGGCAGTTCAAATGGCTCAGGCAGTTCAAATGGCTCAGGCAGTTCAAATAACTCAGGCAGTTCAAATGGCTCGGGCAGTTCAAATGGCTCGGGCAGTTCAAATGGCTCCGGCAGTTCAAATAACTCAGGCAGTTCAAATGGCTCGGGCGGTTCAAATGGCTCGGGCAGTTCAAATGGCTCAGGCAGTTCAAATAACTCAGGCAGTTCAAATGGCTCGGGCAGTTCAAATGGCTCTGGCAGTTCAAATGGCTCGGGCAGTTCAAATAACTCGGGCAGTTCAAATGGCTCTGGCAGTTCAAATAGCTCAGGCAGTTCAAATGGCTCGGGCAGTTCAAATGGCTCGGGCAGTTCAAATGGCTCAGGCAGTTCAAATAACTCAGGCAGTTCAAATGGCTCGGGCAGTTCAAATGGCTCTGGCAGTTCAAATGGCTCGGGCAGTTCAAATAACTCGGGCAGTTCAAATAACTCGGGCAGTTCAAATGGCTCTGGCAGTTCAAATAGCTCAGGCAGTTCAAATGGCTCGGGCAGTTCAAATGGCTCGGGCAGTTCAAATGGCTCAGGCAGTTCAAATAACTCAGGCAGTTCAAATAGCTCAGGCAGTTCAAATGGCTCGGGCAGTTCAAATGGCTCTGGCAGTTCAAATAGCTCAGGCAGTTCAAATGGCTCGGGCAGTTCAAATGGCTCAGGCAGTTCAAATAACTCGGGCAGTTCAAATGGCTCGGGCAGTTCAAATGGCTCAGGCAGTTCAAATAACTCAGGCAGTTCAAATGGCTCGGGCAGTTCAAATGGCTCGGGCAGTTCAAATGGCTCGGGCAGTTCAAATGGTTCGGGCAGTTCAAATGGCTCGGGCAGTTCAAATGGCTCAGGTAGTTCAAATAACTCCGGCAGTTCAAATGGCTCGGGCAGTTCAAATAGCTCAGGAAATTCTAGGAGCAGCTCAAGCAGTAGTTCGGGTGGCTCAAGTAGTTCAAGCTCAAATGGAGGTAGTAATTCCAACAGTAGCTCAAATAGCTCGAGCGAGGCAAGTTCTGAATCAAATTAAAATAGCGACTCTGTTACTGCCATCAATAATTGACTCAAATAGCTCAGTAATTCCAACTAGTGCAGAAACCGATATTAAACCTGTATTTACAATAGTAATACGAACTATAATAGCAATTCTAGTGATCATTTTAGCGAAGCATTTAGAGATGATTCCAGGGTGGACTCTAGCGGATATTAATCGCAGAAAAACCAAAAAAATAAACATGAAGAAACCATCTAACAGTGATGTATTTATAAGATCAGATTCAGTAATTGTGTGGCAGAATCTATTGGCTATGAAATATAATTTAAGTGTTCCGATTAATGTTAAATATGACACATCGTTTGCTATTTTTCATACAGTTTTTTGTTTTATTACAAGTTTCTGTTAATAAATGTTTGACTAATCATACATATTTTTACTTAATAACCTGTTTTTAATATCATTATCTTTGGCTTAAATATTAGGATCATTTAGAGAATATTGGAAATCCGAATAAAGTCTATATTGATATAGACTATTGATACTCATGTTTGTCTTTACCTATACATAATATACTAGTTTTTGCCCGCGGTTTCGCCGCGTTAATTTATCCCCTTAGGGGTGGAATTTATCAAAATCCTTTCTTAAGGGATGCCTACGTCATAGTAGCTTTATGCATGCAAAGTCTCAGCCCGATCGGTTCAAAATTGACAAAGTTTCATATAAACTTTCATACCCTATTTTATCCCTTTGTAAATGTAAAATAGTTAGCAATCGGGAATTCAACAAAACAATATGTCTACTATTTAATTTTCCCGCGCAAATTAAATTCGCCACAGATTCGCAATATCACACCAAATGTAGGTGCAGTAATATGATCACGTCATAGCTGTATGAGTTTTTAATACCACAGATTAAATATTAGTACTGATTAAATTTAAGTACCATTATTGACATGGCATAATAATTTAGGTTGGGTTGAGAAAATGAACACCATTAGGCTTTTTCTGAGACTAGAAAACACTTGCATACAACTCAGTGGCTTTTTAATAAAATTTTGAGGAGTATCTGAAATTCTATTGTTTTTCTTACAACATACCATGTCAACTAGCACTAGTTACTAAAACTATAAAATATCTGCCTTTACAAGTACTCTTTCACGCGAGAAACGGCCTTTACCCGAGTAAAAGAGTGTACATGAAAAAGATAGACAAGAGAGGGAGAAAAACCATCCCTTGCACTAACTACAATCGCTTGATTTATGCAATAAATCTCCCAAATTTCAAAAAATTTTAATAATAATAAGCAATTTCCAACTGAGAGGTATCTATTTATTAAAAAAACTTTCATCAGCGCACACAAACACAGCGCACTCTCAGAAGTATGCTTTATGTTCGTATGCTATGCATGTAGTATGCTCTGAATAGTGCCCGTATCATATTTGTTGATTTCAAAAGTTTTAATAAATAGTTCTCTCTCTGCTCGATTCTTATCATAGTCCATCAACAGGTGCTGGACATCTTCGATTTCGACACACAGCTCAATCGGATGATTTTTCATTTTTCATTCACCCGCAAAATGAAATTTGGGCCTTATAACCCTTTTGCTTGGGGGATGGGAATTGTTGGTAATAAGGCCTAATATGGTATAATGTACCATCAGGTTGACCTCAGGTTTCCCTGGAAACCATCCTAATTAATTCCTGGTGAATATGTCACGATGTGTTAACTGACATATCCTGAAGGTGAGAAATTCATTAACCCTAGTAGCTAAGTATTTATGGTCAAATACGGAAAATTAAATATGATTATTTGAAAATCAACATTTATTAATACTTTTATATTCTATAATATAAAATTGTAATATAATTAACATAAAATCAAGCAAGACTCAATTAAACAAAACCAAAATTGAATTATTTTTAATTTTGATCTTAAACAGACATAAAAGCTTGTTTTTTAATATAATACTAATAATTCCAAATGTCTTAATTTATAATGAAATAGATGAAATCTTTTAAATCTTCATGATTTTGGGTTTTTCGGGGTCCAGCTTTGGCCACAGGTAGAACGGCTTCAGGGGAAATACTTCTTTTGATGTACAAGATTGAGGAGATATTGCTCTCGATTGTTGTATAATATTGGATTGATCTGTTGGAGTTTGCTCGGACTCAATAATTTTATCAACCGAAAATATACTTTCGGTATTATCACCAACACTAGTACAATCTGTTACATTATTTGGAGCATAGTCTGCATCTGTAAATATGTGTGTATTATATGGACTAATGCCTGATGCATCAAACCCCTTGATATTACTATAACAACAAATAAACTCTATTATTAAACATGTTCAACGAAATTAAACATATGGGGCAAGAAGTCCCATCGGTGTACTTTTTGATCCTTACCTATCTCTAGTGATTTTAAAGGTTCTAAAAAAAATGGTGAACTGCAAGAAAATATTGTTGGCATGCATTACATACAGATACAATAATATTGCATTTCAAACTTACCTTAATATTTTATTTATTTTTAGTGCGGCACTATAAACGAAACCAAAACACACATTTTCATTACTTTCGAGTGCAAAAAATGTTTATTAACTGTGTTACTCGCATATGCATTCTGCGGCAACCTTCGACTTGCAGCTTTGTGCTTGCCCCTCACCCCGCTCAAAACTAGGTAGATTATTTTATTCTAACGCGGTTCTATATTGTGATATGAATGTTGGGACTTCTTACCCGACGGACTTCTAGCCCCGCCCTACCCTACTTCATCTGCCATACCAGCCAGTCTAGACATCGATTGCAAACCTCGTTCTAACAAAATGAATGCAGTTTTCATTAAGATTTGTAATTTAAACTTTTCCGTTGCGTAAATTAAAAGATATAAGTGAACAGACAGACGCTGTGACATTGTTTGTACTATGTAAACAACAACAAACATGTTAATACTGGCTATCTAATGTAAGGTGGTAACATTGACAAGTAAATTGATGGATGGACTGACGTAACATACGGTGAAAGTTCGAGTCATTATTATCCGTTGGCAAAATCACAGATCAAAATTGGTGACAACCATTCGAAATAAAGAAGACGAAACACAAATAAGTGAAAATGTATTTGTAAATATTGGAGGCATTCCCGAGTTCATGCCGTTTAGTGAGGCAAGGAGAGTGGCACAAGTTGTGAAGGTGAGTGCTGCTATATCTAAAAGGGGCTCCTTAAACTCGTATAACAAATCCCGGACGCTACTTGGTGTTTTTTTTTCTTTATTGATGATAATGGAATGGTGCACCTGCCTGCGCTAACGGTTTACGCTGGCAGGGCACCAGTGGAGGATGATAGGTACTTGGGATTTCTGTCCCCGACGCACAATGACCCGGCACGCATGGTAGTGTGTAATGTTAGGAAGGTCGTCACTAATATAACTAGTGGCTAGTGGTAGTGGCTTACCAAATTCAGTAAACGGTGGAGACAGAGCAGATACCGGTATTACACAATGGAAAGGATCGGTCGAATAGGTACGCGAGACACATCAACACTTTAACACTATTATTTTATAAGTTACTGGCTTTTGCTCGCGGCTCGCGGCTTTGCTCGCCTTAATTTATCCCCTTAGGGGTGGAATTTATCAATATCCATTCTTAGGCATCCCCTACGTCATAGTAGCTTTATGCATGCAAAGTCTCAGCCCGATCGGTTTAAAATTGACAAAGTTTCATACAAACTTGCATCCCCTATTTTATCCCCTTGGGTGTAGGGTTAATCAAAATCCTTTCTTAGCGGATGCCTACGTCATAACATCTACCTGCATGCCAAATTTCACCCCGATCCGTCCAGTGGTTTAAGCTGTACGTTGATAGATCACTACGTCAGTCATCTTTGAGTTATATGTATTTAGATACCGTACGAATACGTATCAGTATTCAATGAAACACACTTTTTCAGTTAATTTTAAATAATGTTCAAAATCTACCCTGTACCATCGTAAGCACAGATTATTATATTAGAGTCCTTTAGTTTCTGTTCCCGCGCTTTTACTTCCCATCCCTTACCTAGTACTGAACTGACCGTACGGCGGCCATGACGCGCGCGCATTTGTTGTGAATTAAAATAAATTAGAACTGAGTTAAACCTACTGTGAAACTGGAAAGCTAGCGAAAATATCTTCGAGACCCTGAAGCCCAAGAAATCCGCAGAACCATACAGGTACGAGACAGACGTTTCCACATTAAGTATTTTCCCTAACAGATAATAAACATGCGGAGTAGTCATAGTAACCACTCTGGTCATAGAATTATTTATTTATATGTATAGATTGCAATGCAAACAAGCTAACGGCCTACCTGATGGTAAGTGGTAACAATTGCCTATAAACTTGATTACACTGCGGACATCACGTCATCATGTGATGATTCTACTCATACGTCATTACGAAGGCTAATATAACACGACTGATATCCTGTAATTTCAACTGAAACAGCTAATAAGGCCAGACCAACGTGTTCCCTCTAATATGGTCGAGTGCAATGATGGCTGGCTCATCCGTCATACTCGTGAACGTGCTTGTGTGGACTGGTCTGTTTGGGTTACGAACACTGATTAGACTATTTGCTTTTGATAAAATTGCAATAGCATATTCTTGATTCTATTCTGTCGAATTTACGTACGTAAATTCGAGGCAAACAAGCATACGGCCCATCTGATGGTAAATGGTTACCGTAGCCTATGGACGCCTGAAAGATTGCGCTAGTATGAAAATAAGTAAAAAACGAAAATCAAATATAAGGATATTTATTGAACAGAAAATTAAAACATTTAACAAGAATTTTTTACAACAGATTGTACATTAATCTTGTGGAAATAAATTGCAAACAATAATAATTGTAAAATTACAATACAAATGTCATTATTAATATTACAAGTCATCATCGGATCAGTGGTTGTTGATACAACAGTGTTATTAACATCCCCTAGATCCCTTTGGGTGTCTTTTACCTTTACCATGTTTCCAATGGTGTTTACCCTTGGACTCTTTAGAATTTTCCTTAGAACCGGATTCCTCGCTAGAATTTTCGTTTGATTCAGAACTCGAACTGCTATTAGAATTACTGTTTGAGTTGGAATTGCTCGAGCTATTTGAATTGCTGTTTGAGTTAGAACTGGAATTTGCATTGCTTGAGCTATTTGCATTGCTACTCGAGTTAGAACTAGAATTTGCATTGCTTGAGCTATTTGAATTGCTGTTTGAGTTAGAACTGGAATTTGCATTGCTCGAGCTATTTGAATTGCTGTTTGAGTTAGAACTGGAATTTGCATTGCTCGAGCTATTTGAATTGCTGTTTGAGTTAGAACTGGAATTTGCATTGCTTGAGCTATTTGCATTGCTACTCGAGTTAGAACTGGAATTTGCATTGCTTGAGCTATTTGCATTGCTACTCGAGTTAGAACTAGAATTTGCATTGCTACTTGAGTTAGAACTGGAATTTGCATTACTGGAATTATTTTCATTGCTGCTTGAGTTGCTATTGGAATTGTTGTTGCAGCCACCGGAGTGCTTTTTGCCTTTACCTTTACCTTTACCCTTGCCATGGTGTCTCCTATGTTTGCCACCATTAGACTCTTTAGAATTTTCACCTGATTCCTCACTGGAATTTTCGTTTGATTCAGAACTCGAATTGCTATTCGAGTTACTGTTAGAATTATTGTTAGAGCTGCTGTTTGAATTGGAGTTAGCATTTGAATTGCTATTCGAGTTACTGTTAGAATTATTGCTAGAGCTGCTGTTTGAATTGGAGTTAGCATTTGAATTGCTATTCGAGTTACTGCTAGAATTATTGCTACTGGAATTATTGTTAGAGCAGCTGTTTGAATTGGAGTTAGCATTTGAATTGCTATTCGAGTTACTGCTAGAATTATTGCTGCTGGAATTATTGCTAGAGCTGCTGTTTGAATTGGAGTTAGCATTAGAATTGCTATTCGAGTTACTGCTAGAATTATTGTTAGAGCTGCTGTTTGAATTGGAGTTAGCATTTGAATTGCTATTCGAGTTACTGCTAGAATTATTGCTACTGGAATTATTGTTAGAGCTGCTGTTTGAATTGGAGTTAGCATTTGAATTGCTATTCGAGTTACTGCTAGAATTATTGCTGCTGGAATTATTGCTAGAGCTGCTGTTTGAATTGGAGTTAGCATTAGAATTGCTATTCGAGTTACTGCTAGAATTATTGTTAGAGCTGCTGTTTGAATTGGAGTTAGCATTTGAATTGCTATTCGAGTTACTGCTAGAATTATTGCTGCTGGAATTATTGCTAGAGCTACTGTTTGAATTGGAGTTAGCATTTGAATTGCTATTCGAGTTACTGCTAGAATTATTGCTGCTGGAATTATTGTTAGAGCTGCTGTTTGAATTGGAGTTAGCATTTGAATTGCTATTCGAGTTACTGCTAGAATTATTGTTAGAGCTGCTGTTTGAATTGGAGTTAGCATTTGAATTGCTATTCGAGTTACTGCTAGAATTATTGTTAGAGCTGCTGTTTGAATTGGAGTTAGCATTTGAATTGCTATTCGAGTTACTGCTAGAATTATTGCTGCTGGAATTATTGTTAGAGCTGCTGTTTGAATTGGAGTTAGCATTTGAATTGCTATTCGAGTTACTGCTAGAATTATTGTTAGAGCTGCTGTTTGAATTGGAGTTAGCATTTGAATTGCTATTCGAGTTACTGCTAGAATTATTGTTAGAGCTGCTGTTTGAATTGGAGTTAGCATTTGAATTGCTATTCGAGTTACTGCTAGAATTATTGCTGCTGGAATTATTGTTAGAGCTGCTGTTTGAATTGGAGTTAGCATTTGAATTGCTATTCGAGTTACTGCTAGAATTATTGTTAGAGCTGCTGTTTGAATTGGAGTTAGCATTTGAATTGCTATTCGAGTTACTGCTAGAATTATTGCTGCTGGAATTATTGCTAGAGCTGCTGTTTGAATTGGAGTTAGCATTTGAATTGCTATTCGAGTTACTGCTAGAATTATTGCTACTGGAATTATTGTTAGAACTGCTGTTTGAGTTGCTATTCGAGTTACTGTTTGAATTATTGGTACTGGAATTATTATTAGAACTGCTGTTTGAGTTAGAATTGCTATTGGAGTTGCTATTCGAGTTACTGTTAGAATTATTGCTGCTGGAATTATTGTTAGAGCTGCTGTTTGAGTTGCTATTTGAATTGCTATTCGAGTTACTGTTTGAATTATTGGTACTGGAATTATTATTAGAACTGCTGTTTGAGTTAGAATTGCTATTGGAGTTGCTATTCGAGTTACTGTTAGAATTATTGCTGCTGGAATTATTGTTAGAGCTGCTGTTTGAGTTGCTATTTGAATTGCTATTCGAGTTACTGTTCGAATTATTGCTGCTGGAATTATTATTAGAACTGCTGTTTGAGTTAGAATTGCTATTGGAGTTGCTATTCGAGTTACTGTTCGAATTACTGTTCGAGTTGCTATTGGAGTTGCTGTTAGAGTTACTGTTGGAATTGCTATTGGAGTTGGAATTGCTATCTGAACCAGAGTCACATCTGATAGCGCCATTGAAGTTGTGTCTTCCATAACCGCGAATTCTCTTCTTTATTTGTATACCCAATGATATTAAGTCTGAAAGAGATAAAAAATAATTAGAATAGTTTTTTTACTAAGTTCAATTTATAGTTCTAGTATAAACTAGTAGAGAGTTTATATTTTTTGTATTAATTTCAATTTTTTGTCATATTATAAGTGGAATGATGTAGACTATAGGCTATTTCTCTACGCCGTGTACCGTTTTTAAGTAATTGGACTGGCAAACAAGCTTACGGCGCGCCTGGTAGAAAGGGCAACTGTCGCTCACTATGCCGATTGATTCCCCGTCCAATCAAAACGGGTATCGAAATTATGATGACCTGAGCTGGAGGTCTAACATATAACTCTGCATTGTAAGTCTTTTTCTATATTTCTTTTTAATTATATACATATAATTTAAAAGTACAAAAATAATATTAGTAAGATATCTTACCAGTATATCCCTTAACCTTGAAACTGATTTCGGCATAGGCGATGATAGCTGAAAAATAAATTTATTTATTATATATGCTGTATTGTAAACAAATAAAGTTCGTCAAACACTCCTACTCAACTGTACTTTCCTTTACTCGCTAATTATTAACTTTATTTAAAACAAAGTGTCAAGAATTTAAGCGTATTTTAAGTGTTTTTTTTAGTAAATGTGAAATGAATACTTTATTACTTCCAAAAAAACAAAATTAAAACAACTTACCGTCAACGAGATCTTCACCAACTGCAAAAAACAAACGAAAAATAAAGCATAAAAAGCGTTTAAAAATATTTGCTGACAGATTTTTGTCAGGGGTTTGTAAACGAAACTATAGTAACAATTCTCATTTCATGACAAAATGTCGAATTGTGATAGTCATAACACGATATATATAATAATAAACCTTAACGATTATATAATAATATTCCAGGTGGGGTGGTCAGAGGTATAGTCAACTGTGGCCGTGGTGGTGAACGCAACATTTGACATGTCCACATTTCGCTCCGTATTGAATACAACACGGTAAGGAGCGAACCTACCGCCGTCTCTAGTATTAATTATTTTTAATATCAGTGTTTCCATCAGTGACGACCTCGATGGTTTAGCTATTAGGACACTGCTTTACTTCCAATGGTAGCGGCTTCAATTTCTCTCACGATACAAATATTTGTATTAATTTTCTTTATATTACTATATATATTTATCGGTATGATTGACATTATATACATATAAAAGGCTGATACAAAGTATCAGCCTTTTCTATGTATATAATGTAAATTGTAAGAACTTTGTAGGTATTAGTACAAATTTAAAATAAAAATTATTATTATTAGTATTTACAAAAAAAGTTTAAGTATATCTACCAGTTGTCTAGAACTTTGGTTACGACTAGATTGCGCTGTGTGAATTATCCTGGGTTATTATTATTATTGACAAAGGATTTCGGTATCTGGCAGGTTCGAACTCACTCAGCCTTTGGATCCAAGTCCAACAGAATTAGTAATCGTGCCACCTCATGGCAACCTCAGGGAAATGTCATATAACCAATACTTACGTCCATCAGAATGCGCGTTGCCAACAACACCGATGATTGTGGATACTGAAAAATAATACGTAATTCTATTAAATTAAGTACATTATACTTTATTCTTTGTATAATATATACTTCGTTTTACAACATACCGCGTTTTCTGAACTAACTAACGAACTAGCTGCTACTCATTCAACCTGTTCTAACACATTCAATCTCATTGTTCTACGTTTCATCCCGTTCCACCTCACTCTAGCCCCGTTCAAACTCATACTACCCAGTCTAGCCGGTTCTACCCTGTTAAACCCCATTACTGGCCGGTTCTGCTCTATTAACAAAATGTTTATATTAACAGCAAAGAGCTTCTGTCCATTTTAAACAGGGATTTAAATTACGAAGAGGCACTCTTACACTAAAATTATGCAGGAGTTTCCCTTCAACTCCATAAATCCATCAATAGACATACATAAATGGTACATAAATAAATTATAAGATATAAGTTAAATTGTCATTATAATATATACATAAATGTATAAATAGAAAAATACGTCAGCATTACGAAAGATAATATGTTTTTAATCGGCTTTTGAATATTCCAATACTAGAACTAGCATGTAGTATGTGAGGCCGTATCCGTCAGGCAGGAGTTGGCCTTCAGCCGCTCCATAAGTCCTTCCGCGGGTTTGGAGTGCCATCTGCATTCGCCTATCGTCCGGTGAAGCTATAAAGGCCAGCTGCGGCCAACAGCATTAGAAAAAAAGGTTGCATGTGAAGAAAAAAGTGAGATCTTCTAATTTTAAAATATATTGAGAAATTCTTTATTCAAATAACTAGCTAACAATAGCTACGTTTATCGAGTTTTGAACTTAGACCCACAGAAATGCAATGTCTCTCCACAATGCGAATATAAAAGAATATTAAATAGTCTCATAAAAATTAGTATTTCTTCACAAGTAAGGAGTAAACGAACTCACCTTTAACGAAAGCGGTTAAGACATCATCACGGCACCATCCACCATTCTTGCCTGAAAGAAAAAATATTCATATATAATCATAACAATCGTAATTACCAAAGGTCCAAGAGGGCTTAATTGGATGACTATACACGCTATATAGTTCCTAGTCCTTAGTCTCGCCTATTTCAGCCACCAGGCAGCTTGTATTGCGAGATATGGTAGTGAAATGAGAGTGGAACACGATATTAGGCCTCAAAACCTCCGCTGAAAATCAGCGCTGTATCTTAGCTGTATGTAGCAATATATTTTACTATGTTGGAGTGGGTGCGTGTATACATATATACATGCTGCTAACTTAATATATGTATATTATTATTATTATGACAGTGGGAATGTATAAAGATATATAACTATTATGACCATGGTAGTACGCAGAGGACAAACTTTCCATTACTTGGATTGTCACTTTTTTTGTTAATTTAATCTCATAAAGCAGCATACCTCTAGCTAATGGCATGTATAAACCTCAAATTTTCTTGAAATGTATGGAGAAGAACATACGTATGAGAGAAGAAAATGTAATAAGAATATACTTACGTTCAAACAGAACTCCCAATTCGATGACCAAGTCCACTACGAGTCTGTCAGAAACTGAAACAGAAAATTATGCAGGTGTTATATAATATATATGGAGATACAAAGTTTCTATAGGGTCAACCAGATTTGATCTCACGACTTCTTGAGTCAAAGTAAAATAGAAAACTATAGTCAGAACAATGTAATGAATTACTGAAATTAATAAATAACTTTCACTGTGACTGAAATAATGATTTTGCCTTTGACTTTGACCTTGCCTCTTATTTGACTTTGATTTTGATTTTGCCTTTAACATTGCCTTTGACTTTGATTATAGGACTTCAACTTTGTTTATCTTAGACTTTGATACTGCCTCTAACTTGGACTTTGATCTGTCTTGATTTTTACTTTGACCTTGACTCTTACGTTAACTTTGATTTTTATTTTAACTTTAAGTTTGCCTTTTTCTTTTACTCTGAATCTGTCTTGATTTTGACTAACCTCTATAAAATGTACTGTGTGTGAACTCACCTGACAGGGATGCAATGCCTTTTCCATTTGTGTACTTTCCAATGACCACATCAATCTGGGCACGGACGTCAATCAATTCGTAGAATTTGACAACATCGTTAGCGCAGGAGTATCCACCTCCATAGTTTCTCCAGCCCCATTTCTTGCCGTAGTCATTCACGCAAATTGCTGGGATGTCTTTTGGGTTTCCTAAGCCTGGAACATAACGATAAAATAATTGATATGATTAATAATGAAACTGTAGAAGACAAATTGACGCGGGAGAATGCAAGGAGAAGAGATAGAGAGAGAAGAGATAGGGGTGATAAGGGTGGTCCACACCAATTTTTTATTTTAAATTCAATGTATATACAACCCTAAATTTGAATCTTCTATCATCAACCCTTATTTTTAATAGCAATATTAACACTTTAATTACTTTATATTCTCGACATTGGATAACTGACAAGTAAAAATCTTGAATCACTTTATTTAAAAAAACCGCATCAAAATGCGTTGCGTAGTTTTAAAGATTTAAGCATACATAGGGACGGACAGACAGCGACAGCGACTTTGTTTTATACTATGTAGTGATTATTCAATAATTTATTCGAATAAACTTAATATAAACACTTTTTAATGGTCACATTTTTTTATTCTACCTTGTTATTCAGAACACAGACTTATCATAAGAAGAACGAGCAAGAAACTTGTGTGTTGCTCTTTTAAATAAACATTGTTCAGAATTACATTTTTAATAAGTAACTTTAAACGGTGCATCCTTGAAGTAGGTCTTATAAATATTTAGAAAATGTTATTTTTATTGAAATAGATATGAAGTCATGATAGTTACCTGGCCTCCTGTCACCAAGAAGTTTTCCAGTGAGTCCTGGAGATCCCAACACGCAGATAATGATCTTGGCGATTGAAATGACGACTGTGAAAAAGAAAATTATGAAACATCAATAGTAAAATCTTTTTTATAACCAAGTTTTTATGTCCGCCATGTTGAATTAATGTAAAAAAAAAAGAAAAAAAATTCGACATTTTTTTCGTAATATTTTATATTAGTATTAATTTGTTTATTCAACTAGTGTTAAAACAACGAATATTTATCAGAATTTATATGGACGGATGCAAAAAATAGGATATTTTTCAATCAAATGAATATAAAAAAAATACTTTTAAAAAACCGAATAAAGATGTTTTTAATTGTTCCAGTTATCTAATACGTATATAAAAATTCCGAAATGGGTCGACCGATTCCTATGAAACTTTTTGTGTATCTTCAGAATAGAACGTAAACTATTTTTCATGCTCTTAAGTAATAAAGGGGTTTTATTATTTGAATTTTTTTTTACATTAGTCTTTTTATGATTTCATTAAAAAAATTTTCGTCATTAAAAATACATACAACCCTAAATATTCACCCTTCTAACAACAACCCCTAATTAATAGCTACATTAGTACTAGTAGTATTTTCTACTCTAGTTTTTCGATAACTTTTTAAGAATAACCCCTATTTTTAATGGCTATATTAGTACTTTAATAATTTTCTACTCTAGTTATTCGATAACTAAGTAATTAATTTCAAATTTTTCTACTTATTAAAATAATAATGAACTTAAATACTCACTTCTGGCCAAAATTTTTCCAACTGAAAAAAAATAAAGAATATTAATAATAAATTCATTATCTATACATACATACAAATAAAATTGGAGTGTCTGTTTGTAATACTGAAATAACGGTTTTTTACTAGACGCATATGAATATAAATACGGTACATACACCAAAATAACATTTTTTACAATTGTTGTCTGTCTGTCAGTTTGTTCCGGCAAATCTCTGAAATGGCTGGACCGATTTTGACGGAACTTTTATTGACAGACAGCTGATGTAGATAGAACTTAGGCTACCTCTATTTTAGTTTAGTTACCTTTAAAATAAAGTTAAGTTCCAAGCGGACGAAGTCGCGTGTATAGCTAGTTATAAATACAATAAAAGCCTAGCGACGCGACGTATAGGAAAATGTTTTCTGCGTGTGTACCTCAGTCTCACCTATTTCAGCCAAGCATCTTACTTTGTAAGCTGTTTCGGTTGTAGGGTGCAGATTGGGCAGTGATATTACAGGGTAAGAGGCGTCATATTAGTCCTCTAGAATGGCAACACCTAATTGGTATCACGGCTGTCACATGATAACGTGATGTCCGTAGTGCTGTTCATGTATATAGGCCACGGTTACCACTTACCATCAGGTTAGCCGCCTTCTTTGCCATTCCAAATCTTATTAATATTATAAACGCGAAAGTTGAGTATGGATGGATGTTTGTTACTCTTTTAAGCAAATTCCACTGAACGGATTTTGATGAAACTTTACAGTAATATAGCTTATACATCATAATAACATATAGGCTATAAATTTCACGTGAGGAAAACCGCGGGCACAGCTAGTATATAATATAGCTACGATATGCCAACTATTGCAAAATGTAATTCTCAGCATTTAGTCTCTCATCTGGGCCGTTGTACGTGTAGAGCGGAAACTACTAAAGTAACCAGCCAAACTCCTCCAAGAACCACAAGCCTCCTTATGTCTTCACAGGCTTCACTGAGCAATCTCACCGTTCCGAAGATTTGTGTGCGTTATATGGCCAAGTACTCCAGGATTACGTGAGCGATCGTTTCTTCCATGACAGCTATCTTCGACACATGGCATTATACGGTGTCTCCTTTGTCCTCAGATTTATTTAAAACGTATTTGTTTATTTCTTAATTTTTCTTTTTTTTTTTAATTAATACTCACGATTTGGAATCAGGCTGTCAATGATACGGGCAAGAGCTCGTGCCACTAGAAAAAAAAAGAATTAATCATTATCTGAGGGAGGGGGAAGTTAAAACTTAAATATAGTAAATTTAAGTTTTAACTACGATTAAAAATCGACACACAACCACAACTTTCGTCACACAAATTTTATAAATTTCCATCCCTATTTGCCACATAGGTCACTCTAGATCACATAATTGTGACATACTCGTCTTCCTTATGTGAAGTTACATATTTCACTAATAGGTACACTACGGAACCAATAGACGAATTGAACATTTTAAAGATTTCCGTATTAGTTAAAATTTTCTGCTTTAATACATACTATATATTTTGAAAGGTGACGTCACGAAATTAAGGACCCATTGTCACTCTTTGTCATACTTCCCCGCTATCTAAGTGTGACGTAAGATATAATTGATCCCTTATTTTAATCGTTTATAAAAAAACTTACCGCTGATGACAACGTTGACGACGTCATCGAAAGCGCCGGGAAATTCTGAAAAATAATATTTATTTATTTAATCATACTTTATTATACCACAGCAGCGGTAAACAAGCATACGACCTGTCTGATCGTAAATGGTCAACGTACCTGTAACACCAGGGGTGTTACGTGCACGTCGCTGCCCCTTAAGAAACATTAATATACCCATTTCGAAAAACCCCCTGCTGTTATATGTAGAGAAGACCTATATAGTTCTAATAAATTCATAATCTGAGTATAATTTCAATTCCTTCCGAGCTACATGTTATAGAATGCGTGTGTGGGGTACACTCGCATTCTATAACATGTAGAATGCGTGTGTACCCCACACAATATTAGTCAGTCTCAACAATATTAGCCGCCAAGCAGCTTACTTTGTACGATGAATCTCGGTTAAACAATGATGTCGGATATGAACTACATGCACTCTTTATTCTTTATTGTAAATAAAATTACGCACATAGTAAATAAAATTATATACAATAAATGTACAAGGATCAGCTTATCTGGAGATTGCTTCCAGCAAACCTAGAAAATGTTATAGGATAGTGTATTAAATAGAATAGTCATACATACGTGTAAGAAAAGAGGAGATATTAAAATATTGTTTTAATGATATTAATTATAAGTATCAATAGACATACATAAATGGTACATAAATAAATTATAAGATATAAGTTAAATTGTAATTATAATATATACATAAATATATAAATATAAAAATACGTCAGCATTACGAAAGATAATATGTTTTTAATCGGATTTTGAATATTCCAATACTAGAACTAGCATGTAGTATGTGAGGCCATATCCGTCAGGCAGGAGTTGGCCTTCAGCCGCTCCATAAGTCCTTCCGCGGGTTTGGAGTGCCATCTGCACTCGCCTCCTAACGTCCGGTGAAGCTGTAAAGGCCAGCTGCAGCCAACACCATTAGAGTAGTCCGAAAAAAGTCGTGAGGTAGAGTTCCACACTCGAATGCATTACATCTTGACGGGCTTGGTGGTCTAGCCGTATAGTACACCGCTTTACTTCCAATGCGGGTTCGATTCCTCGCACGGTATAGACACTTGTATTAATCAATATCATTGTTTGTATCGGTCTGTGTGTTTTCTATTTCATTCTATTAAAATATTTATTTATTTAAAAAAAAAATGTATATATCTGTATGTGTTCATATCAGTTGTCTAGTAAACATAACACAAGCTCTGCTTATCTTGGGACCAGATATCAAATAATAATGATGCTTGTAGTACAGTTCATTTATATATGTCACGGCTACCATTTACCGTCAAAATAATAATAATAATAATATCTCAGGACAATTCACACAGCGTCATCTAGTCCCAAGGTAAGCAGAGCTTGTGTTATGGGTACTAGACAACTGATATAAATACATGGATATTTTTTTTGTAAATAAATACATATAATACATAGAAAACACCCAGACTGATACAATCATACTCATGAATACAAATGTTTGTACCGTGCGAGGAATCGAACCCGCGAACATCGGATAGTAAAGCGGTGTGCTAAACCACTAGACCACCGAGGCTGTCAAAAATGACCGCTAATATACCAATGAAATTATATAAAAAAATAATATCTAATGTTTAATGTTGTCAAGCGTTAGTTTTGTTGTTATTATTAAGTTTAACAAATAAACTTACTCAATTGTGAAATATCCAACAATATGTCAGCTGCATTTCCGGCGACATCTATAATAAATAAATATATACGTTAGAAAATTACATAAAATGAATTTACTAAAAAAAAAACTAATCTGATGAAGTAGAAATAAATATATAACAGTAACGATTACTGAATTAAGTAAAATTAGGATTAATAGCTACTCAAAATTACGTATATTACGCCGAGTACAAAACTTTACAATTTCTCTTTTAGTAAATATATGAAAAATCAATTATTTATATCTGGGATAATGTAGAATTCTATTAATAAAAAAATCTTAAATCAGCCCTTTTATTCCGGAGCTTAATCAATGCAAACAAACAGTCAAATCTTTAGTCTTTAGAATGTTAGTATAGATAAAATAATATTCTTCCGCAAAGACATTTTAGAAAATTCAACTTAGAACCCCATGTCATAGGTTCTCTTTACTTAATTAACAAATTGAAGCATTTTTGTGTTATTAATGATCGTATGAGATAATTACAGAACTTAGGTATAGTGAACAATAAAGTAGTGACAAAATATTCACTTACCAGTGATTCCCTTAGCCAGGTAACCTAGAAATAAAATACAAAGTTAGTTTTCTTTAGAAAAAAAAGTATTAAAAAACAAACAATTATTACGAGGTAACATTTTTTTATTTATTATAAAGAAAAATTATGTAATAGAAATAGAATTGAATATTTATAATATTTATTCAAATTAAAAAGAAAAACGTTTTGCTATCACCGTTTTACAAATTAAAAAACAATATTAATTCTCAGAAATATTAGATATTTCAGTTAACAAAAAAACTAATTAATTTTACAAAAATGTCAATAGGACTTACCAAAAGGTGCCAGTACTCTGTCACCCTGAAAACAAAAATTAAAACCAAATTAATTAATTAGAAACTAAATCTTTTACCATGACAATAAAAATGGTAACTAATTAACTACTTAATAACTAGTTAACTACTAAATAACTAAAAAAGCTACTAAATAAAAAAACAACTAATTAACTACTAAATAACTAGTTAAATACTTAAGAACTAGTTCACTACTTAATAACTAGATAACTACTTAATAACTGGTTAACTACTAAATAACTAGTTAACCATTAAATAACTAATTAATACACAAAAAACTGATACAATCATGCCACCTAATTAACACATTGAAAATTCAATTCAATTTTATAACTGTATATAGGAGGTAGATTACAAACTCGACAGTGGGTGTACCTCAGTCTGACCTATTTCAGCTGCCAAGCAGCTTGCTTTGTCAAATGTATTTCGGTTGGAGGGTGCAGATGAGGCAGTGAAATTACAGGTTAAGAGGACTACAGGATGAGAGAATAATCGTTGTTTCATTTCTGTGATAAAAGAATGAATTCTCATCTATATCCTTTATCAATTTATATATATAAAAATTACGTGTCCGCGATGAACTCCTAAATTAAAGCGATTGCAAATTTGATTTGCACATTGTATGTAATTTGATCCAACTTGAAAGATAGGATAGCTTACATCTCAATTTATAGTCGCAATGTTATTTTATTGCCTTAGTCACAGCAACGCGTGGCCAAGTCTGCTACATATATATAAAAAAGACCTTACTTCTTGGTATTTGTAATCATCATCGATGTATGATCCATGGCCACCTCCTATGAGAGGCCTTCCAACTCCTTTACGTGCTAATCCGTCGTGTCGGCACCATCCGGACCACCATGGTCTCCATAACTTCGTTAATCCTTTCCCCCCCAACAGAAAAGTGGGGGTGGGGCTAACGGCGACGACCTGTAACAATATAATGCAAAATTCAGTCAGACAAATCATAATGAATTTTAATTATTTTAGCCGTAATCAAGTATCTCTGCACATCCCAAAGGGTGACTGGGAGAGAACCCAGTCAACCTTTTTTACCAATTTTAATAGTAAAAAAAACAAATTAAAAAAATTTACAGTCTCAGTAGTCTAGCGGTTCAGTATAGTGATTTACTTCCGATAGTCTGTTGATCATATTTACTGAGCAAAGCCTATTACTCACTATACGATTACTTGAATGACGAGCGTGCATGGCAATAGTTGTTCGTGTACGGGATTTTCATTTAATGTTAGACATAGACACCTATATAAATATTTCTTATTTACATTGTAAATAAACCGACTTTTAAAAAAAAGTAATTCAATTGAGTTTCTTGTCAGTTCTTCTCGATTGGATCTATATACCGAACTGGACGGTAGGGGAAAAAAAATATAATGTAAAAACTTGACGTTCATAAGCGGCTAAAATGTCCTACATGAATAAATTATTTTTTAATTTGAATTTGAATTTGATAGTCGCGGGTTCAATTTCTCGTACGTTACAAACATTTGTATCTACTATATCTTTTTATATCAGTTGTCTAGCACCCTGATTAACTTGCGACTAGATGGCGCTATGTGTAGTGTTCAGAGACATCATTATTTTAATGTTTATTAATTAGTTTAGGTATTTAGAACATACTAGTTTGAAGACCAGACTATGTTTGTTTGCACGGGCATCCTGTACAACATCTCTGAGGTCTTGAACATACAAATCCTGCCTTTTAAGGTTAACTCAATTTCCTGTGGTTTATACTACATTGTGCTTGCTAATACAAAGTTACTATTCAAAACTCTTTTTACAGGTTATCTTGATCAGTACTAGATTGACAAATTAGGTACCTAGTAATAAGTCACTTTTATATGGTTCTTTTAGTTCTATAATCTCATAAAACTCCAAGCAAAATAATTTCGATGGTTGTCTTAGGGAGTCCTCATACAATTAAAAGTAATTAAAATAACGTTTTAATTCCACATGTTATTACTTAACACGCGTTAAATAAAAACTTTACAGTTACAGTATTTTTTATGAAAAGATATGACATCTTCACATAAGCAGCCCACTATACTTAGGTCGTTACGCTTATTTCGACATTTCATATCGAGTTCACCGTTGTTTTTTATTTTTAGTTGTAAAAGTATCGTTATTTTTACTATAGTATTTTTACTTCAGCGATTGCCACAAATACAGTATTGTACGGACTAATTGCTAAACCAATCAGAAATCGTTATAATATATTTTCGTTACATTTTTGATCCAATTGACAGCGTATCATTTGAATATCGCAGTAGGTACTTAATGGCTTTAGTGTTGTTTTGTTTTTGCTACTCAAGTATAGGTTCCCATCCATATTGGTTTCTAGAGTAACAACAATATCTGCTGCGACTATAATTAAGCCCAAGTGATGACAAGGAACCTAGGTCTCATCTGTATTTGCAACAATTTCAATATTGTGCATACGGTGGATGTTATATATTTTTACAGTCTAAACCTTGTTAGACTGAGTTAAAATATACACTCAAGCTTAGTTTTCCAACTAATAATGTTAATCAACCACCAATAAACTACTTGTTTAATTAGTTAAAATTATAAATATTTTAATTATATTTTAACTTGAAATTGCACAATTTAATTTAATTAGGTGATATTATAAATATTTTAATTATTAATTATTTTTAAATTGACATTGCCTAATTTCATTCCATTACTAATATTAATTTAATTTCCTCGCCTAATTCCATTTTTAAATTAAAGCGAGATAGTAGGAATGGAACATTTCTGAATTTTATTCCAATAATTTTTGAACACTTTCATTTTTCAAAAATTATTGGAATAAAATTCAGAAATATATATAATAAAGATTTTATTGATTAAATTTAATTATGTACAAATTCATTAATGAAAAATATTTAACTCACCAGAGCTGCCAAAACGAGGAATTTAAGCATCATGTTTTATGATTCACTACTCCTCAATACTTTTTTGTGGCCATATTTATATGAAATTTAATGTTTACTCTCCATTGATTTGTACAGATGTTTCCATTTTATTATAATAAAATGTAATTTATGTTTTGAATAATTAAGTGTCAATTAATTTCCACACTGTTGTGGAGTAGAGAGAATTGTTTAAAAAACAAATAAATATGTTTTGGCAGCCATCAAAGATCTCCTTTGCGATTCCACATGTCCTGCCTTTAACTTTACTGGTATATGGTATGGTACAAATGATCAACCCATCGCTTTTTTATAGCATAGGATGAAACCCCTCTTTGTCGATTCCTCAAGCTCAAGAGTCGTCACCATCAGAAATGCTTCTTCCAACCAAAACTCTCCAGGCATCTTTATCCTGAGCTAAGTGGACCGCCGACTGAATATTTCGCTTGACGGCATCTCGAACAGAATCAGTCCATCGTACAGTTGCCCTACCTCTGCCTCTTCTTCCGTCTACGTGGCCTATAATTAAACATTTTGCCAAATTATCTGGTTTCCGATGGGCCACGTGGCCGAACAAAGTTGGCAGACGTTGGAAGTACACAGTAGAGAGATCAGCTCTGATACCCAGTTCCAATGTAGATGCATTAGTGCGGCTCTCCGTTCATGATATTCCTAACATTTCGCGCCAACGCCACATCTCGAAAGCATCTATTTTTGATTTTACGATTTCCAGCACACTGATGGTATGTGATTGCCGTCACTAATGAGCATCTCCAACACCAGGATAATTGCAGGTGAGCTGCTGGAAACTACAAGTGGTCGTTGTATGGATTTTACGATTTCAGTACACCAGATGGTAAGTTACCGTCAAGTGGCCTATGAGTATCTCCAACAATAGAATAATTGCAGGTGACTTGTTATGTTATTCGATATGTGGTCGTGGTCAATTCCATGATAAATTCGATGTTGCGGACTATTTTTTGTACCTTTTTTATTATCTATGTTTTTTATAATAGAAGAAAAAAAAATTTTTTATAAAAGAAATAAATTTTATTATTTCTTTCTTTCTCTCTTTCTTCTTTCTTTCAAGTCAAATACAATATATTTACGACCATACCGGTACCGTTTTCTTTGCTCGTCATCTTGATCTCCATACTTCACAGTGCTGTTCATGTGTAGGGGACATATTTACCATCAGGTGGGCCGGTAGTTACATCATGTGATCATGTGACGCCCATGATATCACTTATGGGTTGCCATTTCAGAAGACTAAACTGTCATCTTTCATATCCTGTAAAGTTCAATATCTTCCACCCGTTTATCTGTCATAAATCAAATCAATATATCTGCGTTTGCAAAGGCAGAAACTCAGATGTTATTGTGTTGATATAAGCTTGTACATGATTACAAAATACAGATTCATTGTTAAATTCTATTAGAAAGAATAGAGTGACTACCAGCATATGCTATTACTATTTTAGTAAAAAAAAATAGTCTCATCATCTTTAAATAAAAAAAATACTTTCACTTTCGTTTTCGTTTATTGCTTAAATTTTCATCAAGATATGTTCAGTCGTTTATTGTTGAAAATATAACATTACTAATATTTTAAATGCGAAATTAACTATATGTCTGTCTGTCTCGCCAAAACTACTGAACATATTTAAGTGAAATTTGGTACACAGATAGTCTAGATCCTGAGAAAGGACATAAGCTACTTTTTATCAAAAAATGGATTGTAAGGAGTTAAAAGGTGAAATGAATAGTTGTAAGGAAGTATTGTCATTTTTTAATATAGAACAATGAAACTTTGTCTTTAGTTTTTTGGGTTAGGTTATTTTTTTAATCATTTGGTCAAGATATTTATTTGGTCACAATATCAGGTGGACGAAGTCGCGGACGCAGCTAGTGTAACATATAGACAAATAGACAGAGAGACAGACAATTATTTGTAAACATGGATAATGCGTTTGAAGACAATTCTTTCGTAGCCGCAGCACGTATTAACGTCAGACTTAGTATTAACTGGTGTAATCCAGAATTCTTTTACTCAGTGTCCAAAGAAACAATACCAATATGTATGTATATTGTTTAATTGAAAATTTGTTAATTATGACGACAATTGTGTTTACACAACACAATCTTGCACACGCAATCGTGAGTGAAATCGTTTTTGTCTCATTTTTATGTATTTTCCAGAAGTAACTGATAGGACTATACTCCAGTCAGCTCGTGACCACGGCTAGTGCAACCTAGTGAAACGTCGAGAGAGGTAAATTTATTTAAAACTTTATTTGCCATAAAATTAGTTCGTGTGGAGACCCGGTTTTTAATATAAATAACTAGCTTTTTCCCGCGGTTTCGCCCGCATTAATTTATCCCCTGAGGGGTGGAATTTATCAAAATCCTTTCTTAGGGGATGCCTATGCCTGCATAGTAGCTTTATGCATGCAAAGTCTCAGCCCGATCGGTTTAAAATTGACAAAATTTCATATAAACTTTCATCCCCTATTTTATCCCTTTGGGGGTAGAATTAATCAAAATTTCTTTCTTAGCGGATGCTTACGTCATAACATCTACCTGCATACCAAATTTCAGCCCGATGCGTCCAGTGGGGCTGTGCGTTGATAGATCACTATATCAGTCACGTTTGAGTTATATATATTTAGATGTATATTAAACACGAAAGTTTAAAAATAACTAATTGATAGTATTTAAGAAAACTTTGGTAAATTTCTTAATTACAAGACGTTTCTCGTTAACTCCTACATTCAGAAGGGAGTGATATGTACCCACATACAAGAACATTCCAGCGCCTGTTCGCTTCTTGTTAGCAAAAACCATACTGCAAGAGCCAGAGACACTAGGGTCTCTGGCTCTATGCTTCTCTGCTCTATGGTTTATATTACTTCCGTATGCATGCAATTGCACATCACTTCCTTTAATCATGTACATATTTATTACTAGAGACCGGATTATATGCAACATAAAAAGCTTGTTATATGCATGCAAATATGCTTGAAATATGCACGAAAATTGGTAGAATATGCAAAATTTATCACCTTTTTTTTTATTTCAAAATCAGCATAAAATTAGTAAATTATTTCTTGAGAGACGATAATAGGTACAGTAACATTAAAATTTGTAATTTTTTTACAAACGTAAGCAAGTATGAACTTGTAACAATTTATATGCGTGATAGGTCTATCTTTCATTTTATTATTATAACTGTCAAAAAAAAAACGAGCGCGGCTACTGACTGCGTTCCGAAATGCAGTAAAAAGTCACAATTATTACTCAATAGCCCGTATATTTTGCGACTGTTATTATATTAAATTTGGTCGCATTTTGGAACGCAGGGTGAGTGAAAAATATTGTAATTGTACCGATAATATGCATCATAACTAGATCTTAGATAAAATATGCTATTACCTCTGAGAATGGCTAAAATATGCAAATGCATATAATCCGGCCTCTATTTATTACACAAACGTGGAATGATCGTATGACAGTATTGATCGAGATATGAACCCCCGGGTCCTCAGACTACAGTCTTTCTTTTTAAGGGATGATAATGGAATGGTTCACAGACTTTAATGGCATACGCTGGCCGGGCACCAGCGGTAGCGTCATCGGGTGACCTCCATTCTTTTATACTGTTCACTTCCTTGCCCAATTCATGAAAGATTCTTCTAACGCTTTGAAACAGCGCCACATCTGCCAAATTCTTTTTTAAGGTGACAATGTCCTTAAGCATGCTGGCTACGTCGAGGTTATCAAATGTGACTGGAGGAAGTTTATTTGACGACCTCGGTGGGCTAATTGGTTTAGCACACTGCCTTACTTCCTATGGTCGCGGGTTCGATTCCTCGCACGGTACAAACATTTGTATCCCCGAGTATGATTTTTTGTATCGGTCTGGTTGTTTTCTATGTATAATATGTATGTGTTTATGAAAAAAATATATGTATTTGTAACAGTTATCTAGTACCCATAACACAAGCTTTAGCTAGCTTAACTTGGGTCTAGATGGCGCTGTGTGAATTGTCCTGGGATTATTATTATTACATTTAAACCCTTCGCCACAAAACTCGGTACGTCGTCTCCTTCAGCAGCATTATACATTCCTGCAAGCTTTACTTCACGTCACGTCAAGGCTCGAAAGGACTCTACACCGACTGTAAAGTTGACATATCATAAGTATATAATAGAAACACACTTTGATTGATTGATGTATTGAAAATATTGAAATAATCAATTGAATTTTTGTGGGATATTCTGTATATGACTTAAATAAAAAATTATATGTTAATATATCGCACACTTATTATTAATACTGGCTTAACTCAAAAATTACAAATTTTGGAAAGTCTACTATAAAACTGTGGTATTAAAGTGTAATTTCAAAAATTTTTATTTCTGTATTACACCAATATTGTACTAGATATATACTGAACAAAGCCTATTTTTTTTTTTTAATATCAAGTATCCTATGTTCATTGTAATACCTCCAAGATCATGTATACAAAATTTCATGATGATCGGTTCAGTAGATTTTGCGTGAAAGCGTAACAGACATCCCTACTTTCACATTTATAATATTAGGTTTAAGATTATTGAATATATATGAAAATGTAGCGTGAGTGGAAGATGTATTGCTCCCCGTTTATATTGGTCCCGAGCGTAATTTTGGTCATTTATGCTGTTATAAGGTTAAATATAATTATAATCAACTTACGTGTGTATGTGATAAATTTAGTTTATATATGTATGTATGTATGTGTATTATTATTTTATTATATATGAAGGTATCCGCTGAAAACCAGCGTCGTGGCACCCGTCACGACATATGCTGAGCAGAGACCTATTTGGTACTGTAATTATTAATATAAAAATGTAAATTAAAATTTAAAAATTATTTTCAATGTACCAAATAAACAATTTTCTTTCTTAGATTGGTTATATACACTCGCGAGCAACCAAATCGACTCAAGCACTACCTCTACATTAAAACATTGTTCTAAATAAAAGTAAACAACATTGAAATAAAAATAATGTTAATGTTATTTAAAAGCTTGAAACTTCAGTATATATGAATTCTTTTTTATTATTGGCGTCTGAACTTAAATGGGAGAAAAATGGAAGAAATTTTGGGTAAAGGAGTCTTGTTCAAAATTGACACAAATAAAACACGTTCAGACTTATAAAATTTATTGGTTCAGTATTTGGTATTGCTATATGTTCCAGTTCCAGCACAATGTATCATTTTAATTAAAATGTTGTATACTTTCACTTAAAATAATGTTTAAATGCAGAAATAGAAATAATCTTTATTCAAATAAACTTTTGAATACTCAAGTTTTTTTTATTCTACCGCTCATTCGGAATGCAGATTCATCACAAGAAGAATAAGCAAGAAACTCGTGTGTTGCTCTTTTAAATAAATATTGATTTAACAAGGACTAGGGACAATGACATAGAAACCGCTACGCACTTAATCTCTATTCAATCAGATAACATTGTCAGCGCTATGAATTTTAAGTTAGATATTTTGTACAAAAACATTATTATCATTTATAAATTCTTCAATTTTATAATAAGAGGTAGGTAGGAAGCAGAGGTAGAGCTTGAGTTGATTTGGTTGCTCGCGAGTGTATAATAGATATTTACATTATTGTAATTGATAATGTTAGCTGTTGATGTCAGTGATGATTAAATGTGTGAGACAAATTCAAAAACAACCTACACCACCTACCTACCAACCTAAATAAATAAAACTTAATTTAGGAAATGAAAAAGAAATAGAGTTTCATCATTTTACTGCATTTTACGGAAGGAATAGGTAGAGCATCCTTTGTGACTCACACATTATTATGTATGTACATTAGAGCAACAAAAACAATGCTGTTCAAATACGATACAGCCATGAAACTTTATTATTTATCTATTATATTGAATGTTTAATCAACTGAAACTATTTATTTACTGACGCAAATCAATAATTTGCATGACAAATAACAATGAAAGGCACAAATTAATCAATAAAATTCGGTTGTTGATAACGTTATTGCATTAACAATACAGATCGATTCATACAAATCATGTTAATTATTTGATAATTCTTAGCCAGGCCTAGAATATACATATATATATGATACAGGCATATATATATATATATATATACTAGCTGTCCCGGCTAACGTTGTTTTGCCATATAAATTAATAACGCTATAAAAAAATAGGGGTTGATGATAGAAGGGTGAAAATTTAGGATTGTATGTTTTATCATAAAAAAATAGAAACTAAAAATTTTGTCTGAAAATATAAAAAAAAAATGTTGGGGTGGACTACCCCTAACATTTAGGGGGATGAAAAATAGATGTTGGCCGATTCTCAGACCTACTCAATACGCCCACAAAATTTCATGACAATCGGTCAAGCCGTTTCGGAGGAGTATGGGAACGAAAACTGTGACACGAGAATTTTATATATAAGATGATCGAGATATGGGCTAACAGGAGAGCGCTGAATAACTAGTTGTCTCCCAGTGGTTGAAAGTAGACATAATTAATTTAAATTACAAGTTTAAACATTATTTTCTATCATATAATAATAATAATAATATCTCAGGACAATTTACACAGCATCACCTAGTCCCAAGCTAAGCAGAGCTTGTGTTATCGGTACTAGACAACTGATATAAATACATGGATACATTTTTTTATAAATAAATACATAATATACATAGAAAACACCCAGACTGATACAAACAATCATACTCATGAATACAAATGTTTGTACCGTGCGAGGAATCGATTCCACGACTATCGGATAGTAAAGCGGTGTATTAAACCACTGAACCACCGAGGCTGTCGACATAAAACTATAGACAAATACTATTATAGACAAACAATATTAATCTATTCTCAATTTGACCACGAACTTCGACAATAAACAAAAATACATATGTGCTTGTGATAAATACATACTAATGCGGTTTTTTTTTATTAAATAATTGCATTTTTACGCATATATTGCTTTCTTTTAGGACTACTCTAATGCTGTTGGCCGCAGCTGGCCTTTACAGCTTCACCGGACGTTAGGGGGCGAGTGCAGATGGCACTCCAAACCCGCGGAAGGACTTATGGAGCGGCTGAAGGCCAACTCCTGCCTAACGGATATATGCGTATATTGCACTTTTCTATATAAATTATAAGTGTGCGAATTTCATACTCCACCGTCTGCCGTAAAAAGGGGTACAGAGTTTTTACTTCACATATTAATATGTACCATATATAGATAACAAGCTGTTTCCGGTTTCACCCGCGTTAAAATTCAATAAAAAATACAGCCTATGTGTTATTCTGATACATAAGCTATATTACTGTAAAGTTTCATCAAAATCCGTTCAATAGTTTTTGCCTGAAAAAGTTACATACATCCATAATTACAGACTTTCGCGTTTATTATATTATATTACTAGCTACCGCTTACCCGCGGCTTCGCTCGCATTGAATCCATTAAATATAGGAACGTTCCATCTTATATACTGATACCTAACCTCAAAAATTTCAATTTGCTGAAACTATAGACAATATATTTATAACTTCATTACTGGCTGCTATATGGCGCTAAATTTCTTTTTTTATATGTATAAAGTATCCTAATTTCATTCTAATACCTCCAAGAACATGTGTACAAAATTTCATGATGATCGGTTTAGTAGTTTTTGCGTGAAAGTGTAACAAACATGTCTACTTTCATATTAGTAAGCGAACTGTGAACGTATCACGTTACGGTGACCACATCGTCGACAATACCGTTTGTCACCCCATCTGCCGTGACGGTACCCTCTTCTACGGCTGTATAACGCTGGCTAATAATGTTATGTAATATGTATTTTATAGTTACGTATAAAGTACTAAGCTTTGTAGGTACCTACTTATTGTGTTAAGTACGTACATATATAAAACATATTTTACACACCCATTTGTGTACACACAACGATAAATGTTGCAAACACATGTATGTGTACATTTCGATGAAAAGGTTTTGATCCCGATAATACCATAACATAGTCAGGCGGGAGTTGGCTTTCAGCCGCTCTATAAGGTCTTCCGCGGGTTTGGAGTGCCATCTGCACTCGCCCCCTATAGTGTATAGGTGAAGCTGTAAAAGCTAGCTGCGACTAACACGATCGAAAAATAAATTCAATGGAAAGTACCTATTGAAGAAGGGGGAAGGGTGATGGATTAGTAACAGCGTCGGCCTGTGGCCTCTTATCACTTAGGGGTACGAAAACTAAGACCTAGTAAATATACACACAAAGTTTTGTAAGAATCGGCCATGCCGTTTCGGAGGAGTTTTGCTACAAACACTGACTCGTAAATTAGAAATGTTAAATGTAGTAAAAAAGGATTTTTTTTATACTACCATGGTGGCAAACAAGCATACGGCCCATCTGATGGTAAACGATTACCGTATCCAATAGAGACCTGAAAAACCAGGGGTATCACGCGCGCGTTGCCGATCTTTAAAATACCTTAATCCTTGAAAAACCTCAAGCTGTAGTCTCTCGAGAAAACCTTGGCAAGTAGTTGATTCCACAATCTAAGTGTCCACGGGATGAAGCTCCTCTGAAACCACACTGTTACCTGAGACCACTTAGGTTATAGAATGTGGGGATGAATCCCTGTCGATGGTAAACGGTAGTTAAAATGTAGTAGTTATTATAACATATTTAATTTTGCTTTTTCTTCTAAATTATTGAGAATGACTCTTGGGTTGGTTACGACTCCAGTGAGCTGGTGCTGTACTTATGTATTTATCTTCAGAATGAGTGGTCACCTGCAAAAAAGGTTTGTTTAATGATTTTTTTTTATTGGGTTGTGTGGGCTATTGCCAGATGTTTGTAGCACCTGTAGCACTGCGACCTACATAGATCTATTGTGCTCGCCCTTTTTCAAAGTTCGCTACCTAGACCCGTCAGGGACAAGAATTGAAGGATATTCTTGGAGCGATGGTTTTTATCCCCTCGGGAAAGAGTGTAAACTTTCCAAAGGAGATATTTCGTTTATACATGAGTGGGATACAACCACATAGGATGTGAAGCGGCGTTTACTCTTCAGTTTGGCAGAATCTGCAGATACTTGTCGTGCATAGGCCTAGTTTTGCCATATGCTTGTTTAATTTGCAGTGTTCTGTGAGGACCCTAGTCATCATGCATATGTTGTTTTTACTCAATAGCAGTAGTCTATTAGAGTATTTATTTGAGTAACCTGATTGTTTAATGATTATCAGCATTGCGTTTTTCGAGAAGGGTATATTAAGGTTTCTTAAGGTTCGGCAACGCGCACGTGACACCCCTAATCTCTGACGTCCGTACGTTAAAGTAACCATTTACTATCAGATGGCCCGTATGCTTGTTTACCACCATCGTAGTATAAAAAAAATATTTAAAGATCTCGATGGTTTAGCAGTTCATCTGGATTTGAATGGTTTCCTAAAAGGATTGCATGTGTACCCGTGATATATGATGATGAGGTAAACAATCCCTATAAAGTCCCCTTCCCCCATCATAAATAATAATAATAATCCTGAACATTGAATACAAGTCACCAACTATTTCCAAGCTAAGCGGAACTTGTGTTATGGGTACTAGACAACTGATATAAATATGAAGTCGATTGTTAATTATAGACCGATGATACCATTGTTAGCAATGTACTATGTCAGGTTGACATCCACGCAGTACCCCCTGGAAACATTCGTGATAAATTCCTGGTTAATTTTCCACGATGGACTCATCTTATCATCCTCCACTAGTGCTTCGCAAGCCCAAATTCTTATCAAAGGCGAGAGAATCATTCCATTATATTCAATTTAAAAAAAAAACAAGCTGAGAAGTTCTTGAGGACGACGTCATGTCCTATTGGTACATATTTATAAAAAATCCCCGGAATGGTCGGCCTGTTCCTACATTGGTGGCATTGTTTGTAGTGATTGCCACTCTGTTATATTATGGATTTCAAAATTAATTAACTTGAAGAAAATTACCTCATGTACAGATACATGTTCTGTTGTAGTCTGTTTTATACCAGCATCTCCTCCGTATGGTAGCCTCGTAGATTGCACAGCATCATTGTCATCACCTAAACCCTTTATGATCGCATGAATCACGTGCCTGAATATAACAACATACAATTGACCAGTTAAAAAGCTGTCTCCTTAAAAGTCATGTGTACAGGGCTCCTTACACTTAAAGATATTCGTACATCATCTGCCGCTTTCTTATCCCATTTATTTGTGGTCGGCGTAATATGTTTTTCTTTTCCATTCATCCCTGTTCGCAATCATCTCGTCATTTACTCCCTTTCTTATCATATCATCTTTCACCTTCCATCCATCTCTTTTTTGACCTTCCTCTGCCCTTATAACCATCCAAATTCATATATAACACCTTCCTTAAAATATTATCTTCATTCCTACACATTACATACCCATACCATGATAGACGATTACTCTTCAACCTCTCCGACACCGGCGCCACTTTCATACTTCCTCTAATGTATTCATTCCTTATTTTATCCAAGCTCTTCAAGTGTTGGTATATCGTATAAATGGAGATGTAGCAATAGATATCACTAGCGAAAAGGCTTAACCAAATGACACCCTATACACTAGCTAATGCACAATATCACAGTTTAAATAGTTCACAATATTTATAACTTCTACGAATTTTTCATTTTATATATTTTTTTCTTTTCGTGGCTTGGCACGTTGGTGCATTTGCCAAAGACAAAATTAAGGAAACTTGTTTACGAATTAAATAAATTTAGGATACGGAATTTGGTGAACGACAGTCAACAACTACTGCCAGGCAACACTGACGATAAGTGTCACATTGCATTATAGTCTTTGACATATCACAAAAGTTCTAACACTTCCATCCGAGCAACTGCCTTGCATTCCCTATTTTTGTATATTTAGAATAGAATAGAATAAAATAGAATAGAAACATTTTTTTCTCAAATAATATCAACTAAGTAATAATAATGTTGAATATGTTAGTTCTAACTAAGATATTAAAAAAAATATATCAACAAAGTAATATCGTGATATTTTTTTTTGACAAATCAGGTTAATTAAATAATTATAATATAATAAAAATTAAGAAAAATATGTTTCTATTCTATTCTATTCTATTCTAAATATACAAAAATAGGGAATGCAAGGCAGTTGCTCGGATGGAAGTGTTAGAACTTTTGTGATATGTCAAAGACTATAATGCAATGTGACACTTATCGTCAGTGTTGCCTGGCAGTAGTTGTTGCTTAAATATTATTTTATCTTCCACAAACTATGTTTACTTTTGAGAGGCTTCAGATATATGATCTATCGGTCACCTATAGACTGTATATTCCGGTCGAAGTACGCACTGAATTTTTTTTTCAGACTAGTCTAATGCTTTTTAACACAGCTGGCCTACAGCTTCACCGGACAATAGAGGGCGAGTACAGATAGCACAAACCAAAGGAAGGACTTATGAGCGGCTGAAGGCCAACTCCCGCTGACGGATTCGAATTTAGTCTGAGGGCACCGCTAACGCACTGCAGTTCTGAAATATAAACTAACTGGCCGATATTAAAGTGTACGTTTTTTTTAAATAAAAAAGTTAAAGTACGACGCCGTCTTTTGTTTTCCATTATAAAAAATGTCATAAGAATTAGACATTGTGCTCTGCATTTTCTATATTAAATAATTATTTTTTGCAACAACAGTTCTAGATGTATTGCAGAATAGTTCTAAAAATTACTCCTAGATGGAGATACCGTCTGTGTGTACTGTTAATACAAACTATTTCGCGAGTGGAGTTCGTTATATTCCGCAAGAGGCTGTAACCGTTTTCCTGCCACCCGGAGGTCTTCTGCCTGGAACCGGTGTGCGTGTTCTTTAACAGTACTCTAGATTGGATTGCAGGTCAGTGGATTTTATGGGTATTTGTTGCCTTGACTGCAAGGACTATACAAGTTCGTGGACGCTCTGTAGGTCTGGTTAAGATCCTGTGTGTAGTAGCTATTTATACACCGCTATACCATATCTGTATGTATATATAAATGTGTATTTATGTGCATAGATGTAGGTTTAAAGTGCTCTGCAGTTTAACCACTCATTCGTTTTAATGAAATTCATCACTACATAGTATAAAACAGTCGCTGTCGCTGTCTGTCCGTACCTATATATGCTTAAATCTTTAAAACTACGCAACGGATTTGAAGCGGTTTTTTTAATAGGGATTCTAGAGGAAGATTTATATATATAATACTTGTACACCCGGACGAAGCCGAGGCGAGTAGCTAGTCTATATATATATATAAAATGAATTGCTGTTCGTTAGTCTCGCTAAAACTCGAGAACGGCTGAACCGATTTGGCTAATTTTAGTCTCGAAATATTCGTGGAAGTCCAGGGAAGGTTTAAACGGTGATAAAATATGAAGAAATTATATGTGAAATAGTAAAAATAACAATTTTATTTTCCCATACAAACTGCTGATCCTGTCAAACAAATGCGTAGCTAAACTTCAAAAAACCTTCGACATATTTAATTTTGAGGCGGAACGGAGTTTGTGGGGTCAGCTAGGTAATAAATAAATCATAATAAATTCTAACAACAACAAGTTGACGGCCAGCCTTATGGTAAGTAACCTACGGCTGTATACAGGAACAGAACTGCAACCACTTCATTTCTCAGAACACGCAATAATTGTATTAGAGTTACTAACCCAGCATATTCAAAAGCTAAATCCACGTATGAATTTTTCTCCTGTACTGATAGATGTTCATGTAGCTTGTGGTAGCCATCCAGCAGTTCTACTCCGGTTTTATTGTGGTCGTTTCGCAAATTAGATTTTTTCCTAAAAACAAATTAACAGTGTCAAATTATAATAGAGAACTAAGTAGTTATACGTTGAACTGTAAATTATTGTGGGCCTCCTGTTTAGTACACCGCTTAAGTTCCGATGGTCGCGTGTTCGATGGTGCACAGTACAAACATTTGTATTCATTAGTATGATTGTATCGGTCGGGGTGTTTTCTATGTATATTCTGTATGTATTATAAATCTGCTTACGTAATACTTAAACGGCCCAAACAGTAGCAAGGCAAAAGTGACAATAATAAAAATGACAATTCTATATAGAAAATACATTTAAAATTGGTAGAAAAATAAAAATGTGCACAGTTTGCAACATTCCATTAAGGAACCCTGCTACAGAAATTGGTGGGTATGCCTTCTTACCGAAGAGTTTCTCTAGACTTGGCTTCAGTGTCTGGTGCTATTCCAATGATTTCTTTCAGTTTCACCTCCAATCTATGTTCATAATTACCCAAAACTTGTAACATTATGTCTAGATATGTTTCGTGTAAATCCTTTTTCTATAAAAATATTTGGTATCAATGTTAAGGTATATTTAGTTAGTCACACTGTTACTAGATGGCGTTATTAAGGAAATTTACGCGCTCAATGGTTTATCTCCAGCCGGAGTATATGAAGTTTTCTTTTATATTTCATAAATTTCATACTCCACGCAATTTTCGTAAAGAGGGGTACAAAGTTTTTACAATCAATGAATCCATCAAAATATCTTTATTCACGTAGGTCTACAAACGGACTTTTATATGTCAAAATTAAAGTCAGTTTGGTGTGTTTTCGAGCTAAAAACTGACAAGAAACTAGGCTCTTATCCTTTTCAAATGAACTTTTGTTCATATTTAAAACAATATATCACAAATTTGAATTTAAAAATGAAACTGTCATTTTCAAATTCAAATTTGGGAGAATAGATTATCTTATAGATTTTTAATTGAGTATTTAAAACGGGCTGAGATTATGATGATTTAAAACGTTATTATCGATACATATACTAATATAATATAGTTACTAAAAACCAGGTCAGAAGATCAGAAGCTGTATGCCAGCTACGGACTACAGCATTAGAGTAGTCCGAAAAAAAACTACATTTTCTCAGTCTACAACCGAAACACAAATTATAAAGCAAGCTACTTAGCGGGTTAAATGGGTGAGACTGAGGTACACACGCAGTCGACATTGTACCGTTGCTAAGCTTTTATTGTACTGAACCGATTTAGGAATAACTACCAATAGAAATTTGTGAGTCTAATTTTTTAAAGGGGACAGACGAGCTTGCGGCTCACCTGATGGTAAGTGATTATCGCCGCCTTTGAGCACCCACAAAGGCATTTTAAAGTCGCTACTCTTTTATTATACTGAACCGATTTAGAAAAATATACTAATAAGAAGCCACGTTATTTCTGAGTCTTATTTTTTTATAGCGGAGGGCAACAAACAAGCTTGCGGCTCACCTGATGGTAAGTGATTACCGCCGCACATGAGCACCCGCAATACCAGGGGAATTGCAAGTGCGTTGCCGGCCTTTTAAGAAGGAATAAGCTCTTTTCTTGAAGGTTTCAATATAGTATTGGTTCGGAAATACCATTGCTGGAAGGTGATTCCAGAATATGGTTATGCGTGGCAAAATATAGGCTAAATAACATTACTCTACGACTTCACGGGAAGTACTAGTTAAAACACGAGGCGCAGTTAGTTATAGATTAGTTACCTTGTCAGTTAATATTATTAGATAATCCGGTGTCTTTCTAAATCTGGTGAGGACGGTACGTAAATCTTCTCCATAAATTTTTAATGCCTCAGATTCTATATTATATTTTCTGCAGTCTACAGAACTTGAAAATACTGAAAAAATATTGCGATTAGTACAATGTGAAACCTAGGGCAAAAGTAACACATGACTGCAAAATATGAACAACATTAACATGTCGAAGGAACGGATGTATTAATTTTTTTAAGTGCATTTATGGTTTTTAATTTTTTTCGAATTATGTGTTTGACGGCCACGGTGGTCTAGCGGGTTTGATTTCTCACACGACACAAATATTATTATTCTTTATGAGTATGATTGTTTGTATCGGTCTGTGTGTTTTCTACGAACAATATATATATATTTACGAAAAAAAAGATCTATGTATTTGTATCAGTTATTATTAGTTACTTGGGTCTAGATGGCGCTGTCAGTGAATTGTCCTGAGATTATTATATTTTATTGTGTTACTTTGTGGAGGTGTATTTCATTGGATTAGTAACTATTAGTTATGTGTGAGAACACATATATTCCGTGCCGAATCCTGATCTATTAGAAGCGTTATGACCTCATCTAATAAATAATAATATATTTTTATACTACGTATGTGGCAAGCAAGCATACGGCCCATCTGATGGCAAACGGTTACCGTAGCCTATGGGCTTGAAACACTAGGGATGTCACATGCGCGTTGCCGACTCTTAAGAAACATTAATATACCCTTCTTGAAAAACACCGTGCTGTAATCTCTCGAGAAATCCTCGGAAGGTAGTTTTTTTTTTATTTCTTTTTAAATTTAGGGACTTTTGTACCATCTAAGTACATGTCAGTCCCATTGTACCGTAAAACCAATCACTCCATTACCTCACCAGTGAACAAATTGCCTTAACCATCGGCCGAAGGATCGGCTACAACAGTTTGTATGGCACCAACATCTAATATATTTATTTCATGGTCTGACGTTATTCCATGTCGTAGACTCTCGTTGCTGACACACTCCATCAGCAAATGATATA